TTTTTTTTTTTTTTCCTCCCCCCCCCAGAAATAAGCATCACCCAGACCTTCATCTCTGGGCTTACTCAGGGATGCGGAAAGAACAAGAACAAATAACTCTTGGGGTAGAGAAAAAAATAGTGACTTTGCCAGACCTTGTTCATTCAATTGGAAGGACGTGCCACAGTCAAAATCATAAACAGCCGCCCAGCTTACCCCAAAAGATGGAAGAAACGTATATCACAAGTGAGCACAGTTACCAAAAACCGCAGAGTTTTGGGCTTACTCAGGGATGCGGAAAGAACAAGAACAAATAACTCTTGGGGTAGAGAAAAAAATAGTGACTTTGCCAGACCTTGTTCATTCAATTGGAAGGACGTGCCACAGTCAAAATCATAAACAGCCGCCCAGCTTACCCCAAAAGATGGAAGAAACGTATATCACAAGTGAGCACAGTTACCAAAAACCGCAGAGTTTTATTCAAGACTGCAAAGCACTCACTGACCCAATGAGCTCAGATGATGAAGATACAAGTAGTTTTGAGGAAGATCAGGAATTTCTTTCAGAGAATAAAAACTGTTTACAATATTCTTTTAAAGATGATGGCATGCATGATCAAGTAAGTATTATTCTTCATCTCTGAAGTTTCTTAATTAAAAAATACGTTCATTACGATAAAAACCAAGTACCTAAAAGTATTTTAGAAATGTTCATTGTTAAAAGCTGGTGTTTCCTTTTAAATATGGCGGTAGATGTAACTAGGAAGAAACTTGCAGCACAGCGAAACGGTTTCGAGTTTGAGTTGGTGAATGAATTGCAAAGTATCGTTAGAATTTTGCCTATGCTAAAACTGTTTGTACTTATTCCTGTCCAGTATTTGGGGGAAGGGGGAATCAAAACCCCATGCTTAAAATGAGGGTCTTGAAACAACGCTTAAGTATTTTTTTTGGAAGAGAGGAAAATGGGACAAGTTTGTTTGTGTGGGTTGCTTTTTCTTTTTGGTTTCTTTTTTGTAACGACTCACTGGTCAGCTAGGCTGGTTTCAACTCGTGTGGAACTTTAAATGCTTTAGGTTCTATATTTCTTTTAATAAAATATGTTTCACGGGTCTTTAGTCAGGATTATACCCAGTCGTTTAAATCATTCTCTCTCACTTTTGTGTTCACTGCTTGAATCCATTAGTTTGTGGAGGAGGGCTGAAACCTTTTAGTCTGCTCTCAGTCAAGAGTTCTTTCTAAACCAAAAGCAAAGTAAAACAAACCTTTCTGTTTTCTGCAATACCAACTATGTGAAAATAAATCGCCCAACTCATCCCCCTTTCGAAGTGCAGTTTCTGGTGTGGAAGAAATGAGTAAGATGTCTTTTTTCTTTTAAATGTAGTTTTAAATGTGGCCTGTAAGCTATGTAGCCTGAATGGAAAATGTTGACTCATTCCAGTTAGAGATAACTGTTTGTTGGCTGAATCGTGTGCTTATGCTCAGTTTGTGTAGTAAGGAAACATGCAGCAATGTGAAATACATTTTCTTCCCGGCAGCAGCATAAATAGTCATTGTAAGTAGTGTGTATTTAAAATTAAAAATAGGGGCTGTGAAACAGAATTAATATTTCCCTGAGAGACTGAACCATAAATCTGAAGAGCTGGGTGCTCTGTTTTAAATCAGGAAGGGGTCTGTTGGGAGAGTGTCCGAGTACCTTTTCCTATGGGACAGCTACTGTTGTCCATAGTCAGCCTTAGTGTTTGAATAAGGCTTTCTCTATTGACGTGCTATGTATTGAAAAGCGCTCCTTGGTTTCTGCATGGACCAGTTCGTATCTGTCTTAAAACCATGCTGAAGTTCACATTGAAGTGCATTTGTAAAGTGAACTGGCTTCTCTGTGAAGCTTCTTCCTCTCTCCTTGCCAAACTTTTGATTAGGCTGTTATATATTTCTCGTTTGCAGCACCTTGAATGTTTTGGTTTTCCATGTTGTTTTACCTTTTCCTAATTTACGGTTCTATGCAATCCTCTTCTCTTACAAAGAGTGTTCAGATTAACTAATTTCAAGTTACTTGTTTTTCAAGGACCAGCCATTTGGATAAACAAATACAGAAGTCGTTAAAAGGAAGACCAAAAAAAAGTTAGCATATTTAGAAAAGTCTGCCTATTAGAGCAGATTGTTTGAGCAACTATAATCGTGTCTCAGCTTTGCCCCTGAATTTAACAGGCCTGAAAGACATGAGTAGGTCTTGGTAGATATGTCTCAGTTAACTGTAATGTGCGTCCGACAGGCTCGTATAATAGATGCTCTTGTTTTTAGGATTATGCATTTGAGCCCACCATATAGCAAGGGGAAAATGGCTCTCCCTCTTACGTATATGTGAGATCCCGAAAACTGTAAGAAATAAGGCATTTCTTATGTTTACGTTGGCAATGTCTTATCTGAACATCAGTGAAATAGTTTAGATAAAAAAGCGCTGAAGAGACAAACATGGTATCTTGAGAGATAAAAAGATTTTAGTTGTAGGCTTATTAAAAATAGGGGCAGTGAAACAGAATTAATGTTTCTTTGGGAGACTAAACCATAGCTCTGTGCCCTGTTTTAAATCAGGGAGGGATCTGTTGGGACAGTTGTCAGAGTACTTAAAGATTGAGAGACAGAAGATTTTAGTGGTAGGCATTAAGAGGTTAGAGATTTTTATGGCTTTTAATAGCTGTCTCGAGTAACTAAGGAGTATCCTTCGACTGTTTAGTGAATGTTCTGGATATTAACAGCATACGTTCTCCAGGACTGGTGGAACTGCCAATGGGGCTGTCCAGGGTCAATTTTTTTTTTTTTTTTAATTCCTTTTAAGTCTTAAAAGCAAACAGAGTTGTTTTGAATTTTTCTAGTTAAAAAAGTAACTAAAAATCTTTTATTCCCCAATCTCCTGCCCCTCTCTCTTCTGCTTCCTCCCCCTCTGGATGAGGGAATGAATACTTTTAGAGGGCACTAAGTCTGGTTTTTAATATATGTGGAAAAAGATTTAGTGGAGCGCTTGTTCTGAGTGGTGTGTTAGTATGATACAATTCTTGCCTTGCTCTGGCATTTACCATGAGCTGATACGGTGTAAGCACAGGTACTCCAGCATTTTCTGTGAATTCGGTTCCTAAAATAGAATAATCAGTTGTGAAAGTGGCTTCATCAGATATGAAGTCATAGGGGCTACCAAACTGAAACTGCCAATCCTCGTAGTTTATGTAGATACTGAGCGTTTTGACTGATTTGTCAGATAAGGTACACTTCCTTTGGTTGTTGCCTAAATACCGGAAATACAGAAAGGTGAAAACGTTATGGAGATACTAAGTATATATCAGAGAACATGTCTAACATACTATATTTACTTGATATATGTATAATTTTGTACGTTACTGGCCGTGTAACAGTCTCCAAACATGTTTAACTCTGGCCCAGACTAATGGTGGGAAGTTGCATGGAATCACAGCAATGATAGGAAGAGAAGTCTCTTGTCTTTATTAACATATGGCCAGTTTATTTGTGCAAAATAAGTAGACTTTTCACATCTTGGATATTACTATGTTTTAGGCAGTTCTCCTTCATTTCACGGCTAAAACTTTAATAATAGGGTTTTGCACATATTTGCTCGTTCACTGATGCAGTTCAGCACTTCATGAACTGAGTCATAATTTGTATAAACAGGGCACAGAAATGTAGTCTGTTCTACTGCGTTATATAGCGTGCTTGAGCTGGTTAACTTCAGCTCCCCCCAGTCCTGTTCCACTTCCCCAGTGCTGCACATGCTCATTTGTATGGAATTTGCATTTTGTTTGGTTTAGTCTATTGATATATCATGGTACATGCCTTTTGAATATGCTTTTTGTGAAGCAGGCAGAAGTACAATTCTAAAAAGGTATCATTTCTCTTGTGACTCAAGTATTGAAATCAACACCAGAAATACAAAAGTAAACACTCTTAAATGGCAACTTTTTTCTTTCTGTTGCACCTATGAAGAGGAATTCTGCTGAAGGGAACACTGTGTTTGTTTGTAATGAAAAAAAAGGCTCAGAAGAGCAAGTGGACACGCATCTTCAATGGCAGCTAAATCTCCTTACCCATATAGAGAATGTACAGAATGAAGTCACCAGCAGAATGGACCTGATTGAAAAGGAAGTTGATGGTAACTACATTGCCAGATAATACATAAGTTTCTTAGTAACGCTCTTAGTGTTAACACACCTATGACAGCATTTTGCATAGCCACTGTGTTGAGGGTGATCTGAGATGCTGAGGATAGATTTTTTTTTTTTTTTTTTTTCAAAAATCATATTCAAATTTGGGTACCCAAAATTGTAACCAGAGCTTATGCCACCATCACCCCTGCCCCTCACCACGCACACACACACGCACACACACGCTTTCCAAACGTGTTGAATGCACAATAAAGTAGGAAAGTGCTCAAGACCCCTGAACAGTTAGCTTGAATCAAGTAATAACAGAGAGACTTCAGAAGGCATAGGTGTAGCTTTTTTTAATTTTTTTTTTTTTTAGGGATGGACCATGAAGTTGAGGTTTTTCTGCAGCTCTTCTGGGGAGGATATTTTGGCCTAGTTTATCTAGTACTTGAGAGTATGTAAGAGGAAAGATATGTTCATCCTGCCTTTATCTTTAGTTTGCTGTGTATCAGTAAATAACTGGTTTCAAGAAGAAAGATCAGATTTCTTACGAAGAAGATGAAATGAGAAAATTTACATGGGATTTTGCTGCAGTTGTAAATGTTACAGGACATGAATTTATTCATTTGTTAAAACTTGCTTAGAAATGCAGAAAGCTTGGGTGTAGTGCAGTCATTAATTACACTTTGACAACTAAAGTCATTGTATTCCTGGTTGCAGTTTTACCTTCAATATTCCTGCTTGTACTAGGCAGTATTTCTAGAATAACAGGGTTGAGCTTTCTACCTTACTCTCTTTAGAAGCATACAAATTCATTCAAAAAACACTTTGAAGACTGGAAAACTGTTCAGTGATCTGGTCCTGTACCAATCTGTTAAAGTGACAGAAGTGAGCCTAGGACTTCACTGATCCTTGCTTTTAAGGGTTAGTTTCTCTGTTACGGGACTGTCATAGTAAGAGCTTGAACTAAGCGTTCTTTTGTGTGTATAGACAGCGAATTGTCAGCCAAGGCTATAATTTGCCCCAAGTACCTCTTTATGTTAGCAGTCCGATCAGACGAGGTATTTGGACTGTACGAGTGAAACACTGAATTAGCTGACACTTCCCTAATAAATATTTCTTATGTTAGATAAAGATCACACCCTCAGGATATTTCTCCTTCTTAGTAAAGACAGAATATGAAAGAAAGAAGTTCAGTAGTTAGGAAAATCATGTTGCTCCAAGGCGTATTCTAATTAATTTCTTCCTTTTCTTTCTGAAGTTCTAGAAAGCTGGCTTGATTTCACTGGAGAATTGGAGCCACCAGATCCTCTTGCAAGGTTGCCTCAGCTCAAGCGACGTATTAAACAGCTCCTAATTGACATGGGGAAAGTACAACAAATAGCAACGCTTTGCTCTGTATGACAAAAGGAAGAATAAAGAAATAAAAATAGGCTTTCTACACAGTGACTTTTCTTATTAGCCGCAAGACTGACAGGAGGAAGACGGCAAAAAGCTGAGCGTTTATCTGGTTCTGTGCTGATTACAGTAATAGCCTGAAGCTTTAGAGAGAGGAGAGGAGATCTAGACTAAGGAATTTGTTATGCTGAAAATCTGAATATTCAATGTCCAAGCTTCAAAGTGTAATATATTACACACTGAGAAATGTTAATGTAATCTTAACATGATAAGCAAGGCATTTGCCTCATATAAGAAAGCTGAACAAACAAAAATTCTGCAAAGAACACTGCTACCGTTTTGAAACCTTTGGCAGAAAGTTCCAAATTCACAGAAGTCAAATGACTAAAAACAATCCTTGGGAAATGCATTTTTAATAAATTCCTTTTATCTTGCTAGTGAAAGATAGACACAGAGAGCTCTGTATCCTCTCTACAAGAAAAGTTTATAGATTGTTATTTTCTTCTCTCATGAATGTTTGGGAAAATGAACATATTAGCTTTGGTTTTGAAAGAAATGACTTGCCATGGTCTCCTTTTTTAAAGTATTTTTTTAAATAGAAATCCTCATTACAGCACCCTTAGGCTCCTTTAAAACATAAGTGGCAAATAGTTGTCCGATGTGCCAAATAATGTTAAAAACCACTGGGATGAGAGTTTTGAGTATGACTTACATGAAGGTTTTTTCCAAAGTCCTACTTGGTGCCAGCAATCCATCCAAAATTGTATCTAGTTTATATTTTTTTATGTTCTATTGCAGTATTCAGGATTCAGATTACAATTTTGTCCTGAGTAGCTCTGTTTTCATGTTAGCCCTCTGAAACTTTATCAGCCTCAGCTGGGATGAGGAATGACAAGAGCAGCAAAAATGTCTGTGACTGTGAATTACTAAACCACTAGAATAAATATCACAGGATACATTATCAAAGATGTTTTTATAAAAACTGTCCACTTCAGTGAATGAAACATCATGAAACCAAAGGCAGCCTAGTTGCTCTGTTAGATCTTGCTGGATTTTGAGCCCAGGACTTTCCCTGTGCTTATAAGTTGCCGCTGTACCCAGTGATACATACGTACTTCTATGTGTATGTATGTATATGTGTATAGATACACATGTACATATATGCATACCATATACATTTATATCTACACATGTCTAGTTTTATTACAATAAACTATAAGAACTGGTGGTTAACATGAAATGTTACCTTTTAACAAGCAGTTTCTAAAATTGAAAATAATGTATGTACAGCTTTTGAAATTTGTAAAATATGACTGTTAAAAGGAGGCTATTTAACAGATGACGTTAAGATACTTGAACATTTTATGCCTCGCATCTGTTTATCAGTTCTAGTTATCTGTATAAATGCATTTTAGAACCGATAGACAGTAAACTTGAATTTACCTTTTGATAAGAGTACAAGCCACTGTACATTCAAAAATTATTTAAATTTGCAAACACACTGTTCTATATGTAAGGTACTGTATGTAAAACTGTTTATTAAAAGTATTCTGCATACTTTACATTTTCCACTTTTCTTCCTGATCTACATACAAAGAAAAAAATTGATAATGTACAGACCATCAAAAAATCATAAATTCTGGAATGCCTTTTGAGAATCTGTAAAATTGAAAAACGTGCCAAAGATGGGTTATCTAGGAAAGATTTTGCAACCAGTGTGTTGAACTTTCATGATAAAACCATTATTGAGAAAGAAAGTAGCATGGCTTGCTCATTGCTAAAATAGACCTACTCTGCTGTTTCCCATCTGTCTGTCATGTCCGAAGTAAGTTATCACTCTTGATGTCTAAAGCAAAATGTAAACCCCTGTTACAGAGCAATTGCTATTTGAAAAGTCTTGCTGCATCAGTCTTACAGGAGATAACTACAACTCTGTATGATAAGTATAACATGGAAGTTCATTATGGAATCATGGTTGGCAACTTCGTAATACAGAAAGAATACAACAGCTGAGGAATTGTTGGCATTTTAATAGTATTTGTTGTTAAATAAAATACCTTGATGCGTTATATAGTTGGATGCTTAAATAACTGCTTAAAACAATACGAGTAGTTGAGTGACCTACTTGCTTTTTTGATATGAGACTTTTTTTATATATAATTCACTTGCTGCATATCCTTGAATGTGGTACTGTGTGTACTGTATAAGAGAAGCGTAAGCACAGATGAATTACTTTGAAACAAAGTGGAGTGTATGTACATAGTTTATACCGCATACACTATAGCATTATTATGCAATGCGTGTGCATGGACGTGATGTAATATAATTGTAAATGTGACTGAAGGTGGAGATGGACTGAAGGATTTCAGGTGGGAGGAAGGAGGTTCCGTTCTTACAGCAGCAATGTAAGAATAGTATCCTGAAAAGGAAATTGTAGTAAGGTCAAAATTAAAGTTGCCCTTGCAGCTTTAATTTATTTTCTGTTTGTATATGTGGCGGTCTCCAAACTTACGTGACCATGTAATTCTGTCCTTGAGGAACCTGCCTTATTCAGCATGGCCTGTGCTTACAAAGCAAGTAATCTGTTCAGTATTTCTTTTTTATCTTCTCTTCTTATGTAGTCAAGTATTATAAAAATTCTTGCAGGCATTCATATCTGATGTGAAATACAGTCTCATTTTGCTATTGGACAGTTCTGCGATACATTGCGTACTGCTTGAATGCTTCACAAACTTTTCAATTTGCTTTCTCAAATTGTGACGTTAGTCTGCGACATGCGAAAGTTAGTTTTGGCCCCAGTCGCTGAAGTATTCAAATGTTGGGATGCTCTTAACGGGTGTGTGTTTTTTGTTTGTTTTTTTGTTTTTTTTAAACACTTAGCACTGTTAAGGCACTTGACTTGTAAGTGTTCTGTACAGTATATAACTTGGTTGATTGCTTTTCACATGCACCAGTCAAACCCTGTGCAGTCTGGTTCATACCAGTATGTCTTTTAGTTGGCCTTATCAAGAGAATCTTTTTCCTATAGGCATCATCCTCCGTGTGTCTTCCAGCTTCCTTGGTAAATGAGTCACAGATCTGCACACAGTTTATTTACATCATCATTTATCTGGAGATGAATTGCTGTTACCCATGCTGCACAATGCATGAGGCAGACTCTGAGGAGAAAAAAAAGTGTGATGATGTAATGACTTTTTTTGGATACATATATATATATAAAAAGGCGACATGCAACCTTTAAGTTTACAGCTTTCATTCAACTTAATTCAAGTTCTTAACAGTAATGAAGAAGAAAGGGAATGCCATTGTAGAGAACCCTGTTGTGTTTTCACAAGGCTAGGTGGCAATCTTGTGGAGTCTTTCGATGCCCAACTCTTTCCTGAGGTGGGTCTGCACAGGTCTCTGGAGGCGTTTGGGAGTGATTCATTTCAAACCCTTCTCCCTGTGATCATGATGTAGGCGTTTGCATCAGGAATTCTGCATTTTCGGTCATAACGATGGCTGTAGGACATCTGTATTACAGTTATAAATGAAACATGGTCCTGGTCCTGTGATCAGATATCACAGGATGGGGGTTGCCTGTTTTTCAGTAACAAAAATGGAGGTACTTCAAGTCATACGGGTGGGGATGGGTTGGAAGATACTTCCTACCACCCCTTTTTGTGCGTAGCTGTGGTTTGAGTAAGGCCCATGTATTGGATGTCCTGGCCTTAGATATGTAGATCTCTGTTCAACTAGGAAGTACTGTACAGCAGTAGCAGCCTGTCATCCCCCTTAAAATACTCTTAAGGAGAGTAAGTTGCAATTTTCTGGTAGATTTCATATATTTGCTAGGTGGTGAAGAACTGAAATCCTTCTTACGTGGATGCAACCCCCTTGTCGGACTGACATCTGCCTGTCAGTCTTCGTTTTATCCCTGAGTTGGGCTCCTTATGTGTTTGTCTTCCAGCTTGTGTCTGTCTCTCCTTCTGTTCTTCAGCTTTCTGTGCTCTGTCCTTTTCTGTGATGCCTAGAGAGTTTCACTCCTTCCTTGTGCCCCAGTTCTTTCTGGCCGCTGCGGGAAGGCTGCACTAAGGAAGGGTCTGCTCTGCTCTTTTGTCCGCGGTCTCGAGCGTATTCTGGGAGCTCTGTACAGTTGGATTGTGTGTGCAGTGATCAAACTGTAGAAGTTCTTGCTACCTTTCTCTAGTAAGCCTGTGCTGATCATGTGAAAACGGTGATCTCCCCTGTTCCCATGGGACTTCTAACTTAGCTAGACCTAAAAGGTTTTTTAAAACAAAAAACCCACCTCTAATATTTCTCCTTGCCAAACTCAAAGTTATGACTTAAGGAAGTCCCTAGAACTTCACAGTGAAATGATAAAAAATAACTCTTGAAAAACAATGTATTTTTCCTTGTATTTGAAGGGAAGCTGCAATTACTTTTCTTTGCAGAAACTTTAAATGGCATAAACAAATCCTGAACCTGGACAACTTGAACTCGATGTTAAACAAACAAACAAAACCCTAGCACTCCTCATAACAAGAAGTGTGCAATCAGCCTATCTTCAGATCCTTACCCTGTTAACAGTCATGTGGAGATACTCATGTGTAAAGGAGATGTACAGAAGTTTTGCATGGGGACCATCTTTGCCTTAGTTTTTTAAAAGACTGGAACCTTAGGTTGTCTCTCTACTGCTAAGAATATTGCAGTCCTTGCTCCTTCAATTTAGACTGTGCTTATTAAAGTCGGAGGTGAAATCACTTTCTAAATGGTCTCACATTTTATTAGCTCCTCCTTTTTTCTTTTGTACCATATCTATGTGGCTTTAGGTGATCGTTTTACAGAGGGTGTTTGAACTGCTTTGGTAATGGTTTTTAAATATGCTATATTATGTCCTGAGCACTGGATGTAGGAGTCTGTCTTTAGCAATAAGTGCTATACACTATGTGTATATTTGTTTATATGTGGGGAAAAAATATGGAGCATGTCACGATGGTGAAAATACACTGCAGCAAGAAAGCCGATTGTGCTTTTGGCAGCCGTTCTGCACCAGCTTGAGCAGCTGAAAAGAAAATCTGAAAAAATTGCAGCGTGTATGGAGAAAATGAACTAGCATAAAGAAATTATTCAGGAAAGAATTTCCAAAATCAGGCCCCTTTATACTCACCGGGTCCGTATGTAAGCTGTAGATGAGCCAGCGCTGTTTCTATGGGTTGAGCAGCTAATGCTAGTTCAACTGCTATTTACTTTGGACAGCAGCTTGGTTTTCTTTAGAGCTGACAACAGCCATCTCCATTCATTTATAGCCATATGTGTCAGTGTATTGTCACTAAACAGTCTGAGAGAGGCAGCAGTGCACTATTATTAAATCTTCCATGAGAGAAGCAAAATCCTTCTGTTGTTGTTTTTTTCTAATAGCAATAATGTTAACTGCGTTCTAATACTCCTAATAAAGGTCTGTTGAGATTGTTATATGCCTGGGCTCGCATTCAATAGACTTGAGTTTCAACAAGCCATTTTAAAGCGTTAGGGAGTCTTCAGTTGTATTTTGAGCCTCTAGGCAAGTTATGTAGTCGATAAATTATATATAGTCATGAATATTTTCTGTTCCTGAGCTGCTTTAGTATTTAACAGTTTCTAGTTTTGAGTTCTGCAATGCCCTTAATTTCTTGAAAGACAAAGTCTTTCTACAGCTTCTTCACAACGATGTTATCTCTTTCTGTCGGCAGACATCTACTAGGGGTTTATTTTTCTAGTTTTTGCATCTTGCACAGTGATTTCTTGTATTTTAGTATTGTGAAGAAAGTTCCTATCTTAAGTGTCTCATGGACTAGGGCATAGATGATAAGCAGCAGTTGAATGAAATTGAGAGGAGGGATCCAAGTGAGTTACTAATACAGAGGAAATGTTCAGCTCTTCATTTAGCAGAACTAGGTGTGATCTTAAACATAAAACAAATGTCTAAATTTTTATTCTGAAACATAGGGCTATTTCGTTCATTATTGAAGGCACAATCTTGAAACAGTCTTTCAAATCGGAAAGAAACAGAGCCAAATTCAGATCTCGGAGTAATACCTGACATTTGATTTTTTTTTATTTTTTTTTTATTAGCAGAATTGTTTATGGAGCGGTCTACTGAGTCCTTAGATCTAGCTAGTCAATTCACTTTGACAGAAGTGAGTAGATAGGGGGTATATTCTGACTATAAAAGGATCTGTACAAATTGATCTTTCCCTTAATGTGTCTTTCATTCCTGGAAAACTGAGTTTTCCTATACCAGAATTTTTATGAAAATTGTCAGTTTTATCATTGATAGATCTGTTCTTTATGAGAACAGAGTCTATTTACTCCATCCTTTTTTTTCTTCATTTATCTTCTGACTTACACAACACTAGACAGTTTAATGAATTCCACAGTTTTGTTGTATGAGAGAAGGATTTTTATTTCTTTGAGCTTGCTTTCTGATTTCATTGGCTCTATGTTGTTGTATTCAGTTCAGAGAAAGCTAAGTGTTGCATGATCTAAAAGACCAAGATAATTTTGTCCTACCAAAGCTAGAAACTTAAAACCCTGTTGCTGTGCTTGTGTGGCTGAGGATGTCTTTTTCCACGTGAATTACTTGGCGTTTATCAAATATTTAATCTAATTCAATGTGTGAATCTATGCATCGCTCCACTGCTGAATGCAGAATTTAATTCTGCTTGGAGTTTCAAAGCAGTCTGCATCTTAGATGCCATGAGAAGACTATATCCAATTTTCTACCTTGCATCTCTAAAATACTATTAGACATTGTTAAATATATAGTGGAAAACTATGCGTTATCTCCAGTGGACATGTAAGAAAGCAAGCCGTCTCACCTGACCTAAAAATTCTTCGTTTCTGCAGGGACAAAGGCAAACTCAGATGTTCTTACATGGGCTTCTTTAAGTTCTTTTGTCATCAGAGACCCTTTGCCAGCTGGCAAGTTGTAATACAAAAAAATTAAGCAGTCCTCTGCCCTCTTTTCTTACCTAGCCACTAGATTAGAGTGCAAGTTACTTCCTCATCATTCTTTCAGTCTGAAAATCATGTAATGTATGGAATGACCAAAGCTTTTATTGTTCAGTGGGGCTTTTCTTTTTTTTTTCTTGTCATCTTCCAATTTTGCATCGCTTAAGGACTTTTTAAAATTTAATCAGTGGTAGTAACTTTAACAAGACTTTCTGAAGCACTTATCTGTACCAAAATCATATGAAGAAAAGGAAGTGTGTCTCACACCTTGGGAAAAAATGTACCAAGTGGAAACCCGTTCCACCCAATCTATGAGTACAGTTCCACCCAATCGGTGAGTATAAGAGTTGTCATACACACAAAATCATAAACAAACGTCATAGGTATGATTTTACATAATTTTTCTAAAATATGGGAGAGGATTGTCCAATATTTGTGATGTGCTTAATATAGAAAAGTAGTGAATTATTTAAAAAGTGAACAAAACATGGAAATAATTTGATAATACTTTCAGTTCTTCAAAACGTTGTGCTTCCAATTATCTGCTTCATGCAGGAGGCTCCTTTAAGTTCTTTTCTTAAACTAAGGTAGGTTTCTCAGGCTGCAGTCTCATTTGGGTTAGAGCAACTTTTCTGTAGTGTTCATATTTCATATTCAGAAAGCATTGCCCTCGGGCTTCCTGATATGTAGACATTGCAATTCACAAACCGTATTTTTT